TTCTAGATAAGCTTTTAATAAGCTATTAAGTAGCTTATATAGTTAGTTAGGTAGTAGCTTACTAATATCTATATTACTTTATTAAGAGAGTAATAAAAGCTTATTATAAGCTTTTACTATATTTTTTTACTTATTTTTATAAAAAATATTAACTATAATATAAGTATTCTTCTTAGAAAACTTCTACTCTTTACTACTATAAAAAAGCTACTTATTAAATATTACGTTATATATAGTAAAAACTTCTTTTTGTAAAGAATAGAGAGGTAACAGAAACTATTCTCTAATAATAGAATATAGCTTTGTTAGAACAAAGTAGTTAAATACTATAATAAATAGTATAACTAATAAAGATTGCAGTAATTGCAGATAATAGGTAAAAGGTAATAATATTGTTGCTAGGTAAAGAATAACTATAGAGAATTGCTATTTCTTTTATAGAAAATAGCTACTAAAATAGTTGCGTAAATATCTGCCTATTTCCGCCTAAAGATAAGAATTTATAATTAAATCTACTTAATTCCTAGATTTATAATCTAAGTCTGCTAAATTCTTCTTATCTTCTAGATTTATAATCTAGACTAGTACTAATTATATTAGTCTATGCGTTATACTGCATAGACTAATAATTAGTTTATTACTAGATCTTTTAGTAATTATAGAAAGAGAGATAAGAAAGATAAGAGTTATTATATTACGTAATAACTCTAATAATAGCTAGGCTAAGACAAATAGAGGTGTTTTAAAATTTCCTAGTATAGCAGATTAAAACTAGCTACTAAAATCTTAATTACGTAAGCAATTAGATTTACTAGAGATTTTTCTAATTTGTTAAGAAATAATAATAAGTGCAATCTTAACAAAGCTTAATAATAAAAAGATAATAATAACTAAGTTATTATAATCTTTACACTTTTAATAATTAAATCTATATATAGTATATATTAGAAGCTTAATAGTCTACTAAATAACTAATATAGCTTTTAAATAGTGTTTTAAAGCTTTTTAGCTTACGTCTAGCTACTCTATTTTTATTTAAGAAATAGGTATAATACTTATAAATATATACTTTACTCTATTTAAGTTATAAATTAGTAGAAGCTCTTTTTATAAGCTTAGACTAGTACTATCTAAAGTATTTTATAAACTACTACTCTAACTTTTTATTAGAAAAGTATAAAGTATAAGTATATAAAAAGCTTATATTATAGAGCTAAGTAGTAGTAAGCACTACTTCTATCTAGAAGTACTTAAGTAAATTAGTTTTCTCTTCTATTTTAATTTATTTAGTAATAATTTCTTATTTAGCTCTTTTAGTAACTTTATTAAGCTTATAGTTATATAAAAAAGTAGACTTTAGTATAATACTATACTCTTTTATCTATACTTTATAGTATAAGTTACTATACTATAAATTAGGTAAAGAGTTATTATTAAAGCTAATGTTTTATAATAAGTAAGTAATAATAAGTTTAAATAAGTACTTAGAACTTCTTTAAAGCTTTTATTATTGTCTTTGTCTTTTTAAAGAAGAGTAAATAAAAATAGACTTTATTACTTTATTTATTCTTAATAAGTAGAATTTACTTTTTTTTTAAGCGCTTTTTAAGTATATTAAAAAGATTTTATTTGATTTTCTAGAAAAGTTAAAGTACTTATTTCTTTAGCTAATAAAAGATAACTTACTTAATATAAGTTAGAGTATAGAACTTATACTATACGCGTATAAACTCTTTAATTCTTACTTTCTAAGTATTATATACTAAAGCCTTAAGCGCTTTAAAGCTTAAGTACTTAGTATAAGTATACTAAAAGATTTTTAAGTTACTACGTAGCTAAAAAGTAAAGCTAGGCTTTATTTTAAATATTATATTTATAATAAAAGTATTATAAATAGTAATAAGCTTATATTCTATAAATATAAGGTTTAGCTTATACTATAAAGTAGCTACTATAGTACTATTTACTAGTAAGCTAGTATAAAAAGTATTATTAAAACCTAAGTACTAAATTTAAAATTAATTAAAGTAAGCTTCTAAAACTATATTAATATAGAAGCGCTTTATAACTATAATACTAGTAAGTATAAAATTAATACGTTTACTACTTATAAGCTTAATAAAGCTTTTTAAGATAAATATACTATAATTAAGAATAAAAAAAGCTTATATACTTACTTTAACTATTTTAAAGCTTTTAGCTAGTTTAAGGTTTAATAATAGTAAGAAGTAATTAACTAAGTAAATTACTACTTAATTATTAAAAATAGTACTAGCTAAAAGAAAGTAAGTATTATAGTCTATAGTAGAGTAAATACTTAGTGTTAGCTAAAGTATATTTAAGTTAAAAAGTATAGTAACTATACTTATAGAGTATTTTTATTATTATTATATAAGCTATCTAAAAAGTTTAAAAAAAAGTATCTATTACTAATAAGCTTTATATACGCTTTGTTAAAGTACTTTATACTTAAGTATTTAATAATAGTATTTTTATTCTTTTATAAAAGCTATTAAAAGTACTTTTACTTAGCTTTAATAGTAGTAAGCATATTATAGTACTTTTTAATAAGCTAGTAGTAAGTTTAAAACTCTAAAGTAGCGTAAAAGTAAGTAGTAAACTTAGTCTAGTTTAGTAACTTAAACTTAGCGCTAGCTTTATTAGTAAATAGAGCTTTTCTAATAAAAGTTAAAATTTTATATAACTTAAAGTAAGCTATTTAATACTATATAAGCGCTAAAAAAAATATTCTAAGCTAAAAAAGTATAAATATCTTTATACTAAGCGCCTAAGTAGTAATTATATTATACTTTATTTAAATTATCTAGTCTATTACTATTTTAAGTATTAGTATATTAAAAAAGGTTATAAGTAGTAAGCGCGCTATTTATACTAAAAAGCTTATAAGCCTTTTTATATATATAAAGAGTATTCTACTTATAGTACTACTACTTTAGATTAGTTTTTACTAGCTTAGCTTTACTTAAGTAAGTATAGTAGTTTTTTTAAACTTACTTCTTAGTTATATTATTATAAAGCTATAGTTATATCTTAAAAAACTTTATAATAATATTAAAAAACTAGTTATAGCTGTTAAATAGTATAATCTATACTAAAAGTAGTAAAAGTAAATTAATAGTTATATTAACTTATCTCTTAAGCTTTTTAAGCTTACTTTAGGTACTTACTAAAAGAGTAAATTTAAGCTTTTATACTACTAGTTTTCTTTTCTTAAGTACTTTCTTATTATACTTACTAGTATTTTTCTTTAAGTAGATAAGATAATTAAAAGCTTTAAAAAAGTTATTTTTAAAGAAAAGTATTACTAAATTAATCTTCTTTTATACTTCTAAAGAGCGCGTATTTTATTTAAGCTATATAAACTACTTAAACTAAGTAAAGTATTTTTTAAAAATTATACTACTTATTAAAATAAGTATTAAGCTTACTAAGAGGCTATAGTTACTTATAGCTATATATAGAAGAGATAGTAACTAGTATATATATTACTAATATACTTAGAGATATTAAAAAGAAGTACTATAGTAGGTATAAGTAGTTAATATATAAGTACTATAGTAAGTATATATAGTTAATATATAAAGAGCTACAAAAAGCTAGTTACTTTACTTATTATACAGTAAAAAATTAAATAAAAATTCAAATAGTATTAAAGTCTATTATTTCTAGTATTATTATTATATAAAGAGAATAAGATCTATACTTTAAAGCGCTAAGCTTATAACTATAAAGAAAATTAAGCTAGAAATAATAGATTTAAATAATTATAATTATAATTACTACTTTTATAAAATTAAGTAAGAGTAGCGTAATATATGTAAAAAAGTATATAATATACTAGTATAAAAGAGAGAAAGTATATAATTAACTTAATAGGTACTTAAATACCTATTATAATAATAATTATAGTAATTACTTTACTACGCGTAGCTAATTACTAATATTTTCGAGTTAGGCTAATTAATATATACGCTTTTATTCTATCTATAATAACTTTAAGAGCTCTATAAGTAGAGTAATTATTAATAAAAATATAGAATTTATAATAAAATAGTAGTATACTCTAATTAGTAAAAGCTTAAGACTCTAATTAAAATAAAAAAGAGAAAAAAACTATTACTTCTTTATAAGTAGATTATTACTATTCTTTAAGTACTATATTTATAGTAAATATTATAAAGAAAGTTTTATTAATTATTATAGCTATATAAAGTAAGTATAAAGTATTTAGAAAATATACTTATATTAAGATTACTATATAGAGTTACTAACTATATTTTATTACTCTACTCTATATTAATACTTTATAATAATAATTATATATAGTAAAGAATAATAATAAAGAAGTTAAGAATATAGTAAGTATAAATATATATAAGTTAATTAGTAAAGTGTATTAGTTAAAAAGTAAAAACGATAAGCTAGTATTAGTCTTAATATTATTATTAGTATTTATATAGTTTTATTTATATTATAATAATATAATTAAATAATTAATCTAGATACTAAGTACTAAGTACTAAGTATTAAAGAATATATAAATACTACTACTTTTATATATCTAAAACTATAGTAATAGAGCTATAGTAGTTAGCTTACTTAATACTTATACTACTTTATATAGAATTTTATACTTTTTTATATACTAGTAATAGACTTTACTTTTCTTAGACTAGCTTATACTTTAGAATTAGTTTACTAATAAATAATAAGAAAGTATATTAAACTATAACTTAAGTATATAATAGTTAGAATAATAATTACTTCTTATATTTAATAAAAGTATAATATATTAATTAGTTTGTTTAAAATAGCTTATTACTTAATATATTCTAAAACTTTAGCTATTTTATATTTTACACTCTATATCTACTTACTTACACTTTAACATCTGTCTTTAGTGTGCAGCGGAACGGGTATAAGCTGTTGATCGCAACGCCACCGCCTAAGTTGTTGCTACCTAGTAGGTACCTTGTTTCCTACTCGTATAGTTCTATATCTCTATCAAACGGTTCGCTCGGTGTAGGCGACACTGCAGAAATATCCTTGACTTGTTCCAGCCATGCCACAACGGAATCTGACATCGTGAAATCCAACACGGACATCACGCTATCACGGCGATGCAACGTCTCTTCGTCTGCTGCGTTGCCGTCGTCTTTTTCAGAATTACCAGTCTCTTCTTCCTTATCGTTACCCTCAGTGTCGTCGGCATCGTCGTATTCTTTGGGTGAAGTGATAGGTGATACGGGGTCTTCCTCGACGTTAACCTCAACAACATCCCACACTCTATCATCATCTCTCGTCCACGCCTCAGTACCATTCAACGGACTGAACGGCGTTTCGCCATACTCTTTCATGCAATCAATCGTAGCCAGCTTTACAGAAAGCTTCACTCCCGGTTCGCTATGTACGGGTGGCACGCTTGGTATCTCGCCACTGGGCCAAAGCCTCGGCAACGCTGCGGTAAAGGTGTTCCAAGCACGTTGTTTCCCATCCACAGCCCACTTCTGCCGGTAGCGCGCGAGGGTTCCGGACAGGCCGTCGCAGTGGATCTGGTGCTCGACGAGCGCGATGGTCTCGGTGATATTTGACGGGCTTGAGAAAGGCGGGGAGAAAGGGACGTCAGTCGATGATTTGCGTATACGTACCAACTGCGTCTCAATAGGCCGACTAATCCTCAATTCTTCTCCTCCGGTTTCGATCTCTTCCGTGCGCATAGTGCCCTTGTCTGTCCACTGTTGAGCGCTCCACTCCGGGTTCACCGCCGTAGGATCATCCCACTCCCCTTCCCTTGCCCAGAAGTAGTAATGCGGTACATCGCACCCGGGAAACCTGACAAAGAACAAGTTCTCCAAGCTCTTCCTCTCCACATCGTCTCGAACCGGCTCACCGTAGTCCACATAAGCGGGCACATAACACATAGCCAGCGGCCGATACTGCGACACCTCATATACCTCCGCCGTCTTCTTCGCCTTGTTCCTCTGCCTTTGAGCGTGCCGCGCAGCGCGATCACTCGGATCTCCATTACCCTTTCCCTTGACGCGCAGCAACTTCCTGTTCTCAAGATACCACTTGTTGTATGTGTCGGCTAGGACTTTGGTCTCGTTTCGCGAACCGAGGTGGAAGTACATGTGGCCATTGCAGCCCTGGACGAGGGTGCGTTGAGCCCAATCCGTACCTCTTTCGATGCTGGCTTTGCGGAGTGGGCCGAGGAGATGACCATTACGTGCTGCGGATCGGATCAAGGGGTTTAGGATCGGGACGAAGTCTGGGGCGACGCCTGGTGGGTATTTTGCCCCTGGCAATATGAGCTTTTGCTTGCTATACATCGTTGTAATCTTTAGAGGTGCATAAGGCACGGGACAGGGCAAGGGCAGCGGACACCATCTTTTGTAGTCCCAACCTCCGGGTTTGACGGATGGCATGGTTTGGTTTGGCCATTCGAACAGGCGAAGTCTGCATCCAGTCTCGTAGATCTGGTCTGCTGGTGCAGCACTTGACTCTGAAGAACTGCTATCCCACGATTCTTCACTGAGCGCCTGACCAAATCTCTCGCGGTTGTACTCATTCCCTGCGTCTTCGTCGTCTTCTGAGTCGGCATCACTGACAGTGTCATCACTGACGCTTTCGTCACGCTCTCTCCTCTTCTCTTTCTCTCTTCTTTTCTTTTGCTTAGCAATGAGCTGTGCCTTCTTCTCCGCAGCCTTTCTCTCCTCTTCCTTCTTCGCCTCCTCCAGCTTCCTTTGCCGTGCAATACGGGCGTCCTGTTCAGCACGCTTCTTATTCTCGTCGTCGTGCTTTAGGGCCCAAGCCATCTCTACTTTCTTCATATCCTTGCGGTAGATACTGCGCTCCTTTGCTGTTTCGACTAGCTCTTTGTAGTTCAAGTTGTCGTAGACGGAGTCAGTCTTGTTCTCATCGTGTACTTTGTGCGTACCGCCACGTCTGTGTGATGAGCCTTGGTGAGTCTCATACGGCTCTGCAGAGCCGTGGTACGGTCGCGGGTTACGCCTCTTTGCTTTGCCTTTTGGCATCGTGGTGGCGGTTGTGTAGTGTTCAGTGAAATGTTTGCAGACGGATAAATGCTAGTATTTCAGACAGCGAGTATTGGATACGAGAAGCGCATACCATGTGAGTTGAATGCCGAAGTGATGCTCGAGACATTGTTGCGAATGCAACTTCAAGAGATCACATGTATTGGTCAAGCTAGTGTCTTTAACGAGTCACGGGTCAAAGACATGCGGGAGGTCTGCTTTGTGAACATGACTTGGCTTTGTCTCTGTAAGCATTTCCAAGCGTGGTGTCGAGTCGTTCAAAATGTGTCACAATGCGCTGCACAGCTCGATTATACGTTCGAAACATTTCATTCGTAGGGTCTAGGGTATCTCACTACGGTACGTTAACTTACATGCATTCAAGTTGACGGGAGGGTGCTTACAGTTCCGACTTCTCGCCATCGAGCTTCCGCTTCTCTGCCTTGAAGTCGAAATAGCCCTCCAGCTCCATCCACTCTGCAGTGAAGGCCATGACCAGCTTCGTCCAGTCCTCGACTGTATCCATATCCAAGTGCTCTCCGTCGTCTTCAATCGTGTGCCATACATGCGGGAAGGGCGTAGGGATCATGTGCAAGATCTCGACGCCGCGAGCCATGAACGGAACGTGGTCGTCCTGTACGAAGCCGCCCATAAACTGATCGTTCCCTTTATTCGCATCGGGCAGAAATGGGCGCTCATCGCGCGGCTTCTTGTTCTCGCGCTTCGCCATCTTGGACTCGTGGTTCGGGGAAGACTTCATCAAGCCTAGCTTTCGCAGGCGTGCCTCGGCAGTCGCCATGTGTTTGTAGGCCCAATGTGTGGTCTTGAAGTATGAGGGGACCTTTGGACCCTTGGAGCCCAGAAGGTCAAGTAGTAGGAATAGGTCGATCGAATCGAGCGGGGTGCGGTATATCGATGATGCGACATGGAACGTCGACTCCCAGTCTTCTGCGAGGGCTCTGTGCGTTCATCAGCAATGATTCCATGATGTGATGCATAAGTGTCATACCTTGCGCCATAGAGACTGTCGCTGTCGGTCCAGCTCTTGAACGCCTCCTCGCCGTCCAGCAACAGTATCTGCACACCCTTGTGCTCCACGTCGAAGTCGTCAGGGTCAGCCGCCGCCCATTTTTTCGTCAGCGCCGCATCGATGCTGCGCGCTATATGCATGATCATGGCGCATGGGGCCGCGCTGTCGGTCGCCCCAATGAAGCCAGTCGGCGTGTACTTGCTGTCGTAGTGGGCCACGAGAGCCAATCTCGAGACGTCCCCCTCGGAGCTACCCGGCGGATCGCGTGTCGCAATGATGTTCACGAAAGGGACTTCCTTGCCCTTGCTCACGGGCGTCGTCGACGTGGAGTTGTGCATTTCCAGCCTCCATTCCGGCAATTGCGACTTGAAGAAGTCTAGGAAGTGTTGGCGTACGGCGACATTGCCTTTCGTTCCAGAGACTCTGGGGACAAGAATCGGCGCCAGCAAAGAGCCTTTCTTTATATCGAAGTCATCGCCCGGTCCCGGCAGGTGCTTGAGTGTGTTGTCGCTGAGGCCCTGGTAGGCGTATCCGAGGGACAATATGGAAACGAGCGACAGCAGCGCGAATGCGAACAACATGCTCGCGACTGGTCACATGAAGAACCTCGACAAAGTTAAAACACTGCAAAAGATAGCTCACGACCGAGAAAGGAGCATGACGGCGCCGGTCGTTGAGTGGGCCGCTTGCAGCTGGTCGAGGGAACCGTGGCATCTCTCCGCACATGAGCTTGACCCGCTTCGGCTAGAGTTGCCGCGGCAAGCCGATCATCGCACGTGACAGCGTGACATTTCCACAAAGCACCATCGCAGCCCATCCACGTCCCTACACGTCCCTACGGCTTCGTTGCTGAGTAAGCCTCCTGCTAAGTCAGACATCCAGCGGCCAAACCTCGCGGTCGCGCAGCGAAGGAATCCAGCGTATCGAGGCCTGACGAAACCCACACACGTGTGCAATTTTCTTCACAGCCGTTGATTGCAGACAGCATGCAGCCACGGCTTCTTGCCTTTGCGGCCGCTTTTCGAAGCACAGCGCCTACATTTAGAGGCACACGACTAGTCGCTCAATCTCGCTTTAATGGGTACATCTGCAGGAGTTGCCAACGGAAATTTACCACAATACGCAAAGATCCTACATTACCATCACAACGGGGACAGAAGCCCAGGTCGGCATCCGATCCAGTAGGAAAAGAGAAAGAGAAAAGTATGTACAGCTCTATCGTAGTCGGACGACGAACAAGAAGCAACCATCGTTAACGAACATGTCCAGTGTATGCGGAAAGACTACTGATCTACGATGCGGGCGACGCACGAACTACGTGGATATCCTTCTGGAAAGCAATGGCCTTGTTGCAATTCGGCACTACCCTCGTCTTCGGTGTGCCTCCATTATGGAACAACGAGAATCAACCTGATGAGAGAGTACGGAAGATGCAGGCTATAACCGGTAAGTGAACTTTGTTAATGCCTGGTGAACTGTCACGACCCAAATCTCTTCATCTACACCACTTTTCTTGCCAAATGCACCGACCCAATTCCCCTCTCTCGTCACATCGATTCGCTCTGTATCTGGCTTCATCATGCGAGGGCAAATATCTTCTATGTCCCTGGTTTGTCCGACCCATCTTGGCAGGTCCGAAACAGCACTCATCACGTGGTAGTGGCATTGTATTCCTTCACATTCTCCCTCACCCACACTCCCTTCTTAGCACCCGAATACCCAGAAGCCACAGGTCATATCTAACAACCTCCAGTCGGCATCCTCGGCACCATCCCCACTCTGACCCTCGCCTACCTAACCGCCCCCTTCGTCCACCAAGTATTCCTCCAAATTCCCCACACCGCCAACTACGCCCGCCGCTCCCGCCCGGACCTCCTTCGTTTCGCCAGGAGCCTCCGTCAAAACCCTGCCGCCACCGCGAACACAAAGCTGGAATTTGTTACGCTGCGAATCTTCCCTTTCCGCAAACACACAACCACCTTTCTGCACGAACTCCGCGCTCTGCCACCAAAAAAGCTACGTCTAGCAAACATCGAGCTACCGAAGAGCGAAGCGTGGGTTAAACGGCAAAGAGAAAAGGGAATTTTCAAGCGCATGCTGGAAGTAATGAGTGAGCCACGCTTCAAATTCTACGTCAAAGAAGGACGGTTGTACACGATGAAGACGGGTGTGCCGGGCGTATGGGAAGAGGTGGCTATGAGAATCAAGGAGCAGACTATCGAGGAAGTGGAGAGGGAGAGTGGAAATGATACTGGGAAGCGGAATGTCAGGGCGAGGAAGGAGGTGCTGAAAAAACCAGTGGTCAGGACTGTCACGAGGCGTCAGGGTGAGATCAAGGTCGCGAGGCAAGATACGGGGGCGACGGTAAACATAGGGAATGATCGTCTTTAGCCTTGAGGCTTGCGATCCGGTATATCAAGAATGAACGATTTGCTAAGCGAAAGAGTATATATAAGTCGTCCGTTCCCGATAGCCTCTCACCCAACAAGTTTACTCATATCAACAGGTCTACTGAAGCATGAATTATGCCTGCTCCAGAACCTCTGGCTTCTCCTTCTCCATGCTACCCTTGTGGAAGTCGGCGACACCGTCGTCATGCACCAGACCAGAGCGGGCGAGGAGGTCGGAAAGTCCGACTTCACGGTGAACCTCGGCCCAGCGCTCCTTCTCGCGCTCTGCTGTGCCGGCGGAGCCAAAGAGGGTGTCCATTTCTTCCTGGGAGGGCCGTTAGCAAACAGCACGCATGCAGATGCTCGAGTGAGGAAACTTACGAGAGAAACACCCTTGGTCTCCGGGAAGAAGAAGAAGATGAATGCAGCGCCCATGGCAGTAAAGATACCGAAGAAGACATAAGTGCCATAGCGAAGATGCGTAAGCATATCCGGGGTGACTTGACCGACAATGAAGTTGTTCATCCAGTTCGACGAAGCACCAAGGGCGATACCGTATGGTCGGTTGGACATGGGCCAAATCTCCGCAATGACGATCCAAGCACATGGACCCCATGAGTAGCCGAAGAAGATGACAAAGAGCCATACCATGACGCAAGCAGCCCATCCAGCGCCCTGGTGGCTGGCCCAGCTATCCTCGTAGGTGGCAGAGATACCGGCGATGATGAAGTGGCAGGCAGCCATGCCGATGGCACCGCTGACCAGTACGGGCTTACGACCCAGCTTGTCGACGTACATAACAGCAGGGACTATGAAGGCGTTAGCGCAAGGACGTCAAATGGTGTTTGTCGGAAGACTTACTCGTTGCGAGGAACATGACGATGCCGACAACACCTGTGGCGAGAAGATTGATCGAATTGCCCGACAGCCCGAGGCCTTCAAAGATGCTTGGAGCATAGTACAGAATGGCGTTGATACCCGTCTATACGTTGGTTTACCAGTCAGTACATGGCTCATGTGCAGCTCGCAATGGAACACTTACCCATTGTTGGAAGAACATGGTGAGCGTGGAGATGAGAACTCGCTTGAACATGCCCCTAGTGGTGAAGAGACTGCCGATAGCGACAAACTGAAGCTTGAAGACAGACAACGCGCTCATATCTTGGAGATGAGGGAAACGCTCGGCCAGTGATTTCTTCTCGAAGAGACTTTGTGCACGAATCTCGGCGTACTCCAGCTCGATGAGCTCGTGTTCCTGAGGTAGACTACGAAGGTTGGCGAGTACACGGCGCGCCTCTGCTTCACGGCCGTGGTGGACGAGCCAACGGGGAGAGAAAGGCATGAACATCATGCCAACACCGAGAAGTACAGCGGGAGCAAGTTGTAGGGCAAGAGGGAGGAGCCAAGCAGCCTCCTTCTGTCCGTCTCTTCCGGTGCCACCGATGTAGTTGGTGCCGTAGTCGATCCAGAAACTGATCATGATACCCAGAGTGATGCTCAATTGCTGAAGACCAACAAGCGCACCTCGGACCTCTGGAGGCGCGATCTCGGCATTGTACATGGGAACGATCATGGACAACGCACCCACACCCATACCGGTAACGAAACGGCCACCGAGGATAGCATCGTGACCTTGGCCGGCGGAAGCGGTGCATTGAACGACGACACCGATCATAAAGATTGCGACGCTGACGAGGATGGCGTATTTACGTGAGAGAATCTCAGCGATGAACCCAGAGTACATCGTTCCGAACCAGGCGCCAAGTTCGAGAATGGATACGAGCCAACCCTGCTTTGAGGAGTTCCATTCAAGGGTCTCTTGATCCTGAATGTAGTCACCCATGTCTGAGCATCTGTCAGTGACTTGCCTGCAGTTGTGAGGATGAGATTTCACTTACGTTCCTTGAAGGAAGGCATGGTCAGCACACCGGAGAAGACACCTTGGTTGTAACCATACAAGAGTCCACCCAAGCAGGCAAAACATGCGATACCAAACACTTTGGCATTCTTGACCAGGGCCATAGGTCCCGAGGCACCTGCGAGCGCTTGACGGCGAGCCAGAGCGGCCACCTCAAAGTCGCCGGCACCACCACCGACTGGAGCCATGATGACGATTTGAATGCGTTCGTGAGAGAAAGATCGAAGTAAAGATCGTCAAAGAATGGGATAAGGCACAGAAGTGCAGGGTTAGTCAGTAAGCTCTTCGCGCAAGCCCTTGACAGTTGAATCCCAAGATCGAGGAAGACATGGGGAATGCAGTCCTACATATGCATTTCCATTTCGCTCGGGCGGCCACCCAAGTCAGCATACCATCGTCTCGGGTAACGGGCCTACACGCTGAGTGGTTGATGTTGCGAAGCTTTCCCATGGCGGATAAAGAGACGGTTAAGCTCCATGGCACCAACGCTTATTTCGGGCTGCGGCAGCGATTCAAGCATTGGTGGCTGTCCTGGCATTGGAGCTCCATTGCTTGTAACGTCCCGTGAGGAAGCAGGCTAGAAGCCACTGACGGCTGGGCGCACTATTGACAAGAGTCGCGGGGGGTGGAGGCGACGCGGGGAGGACGCGTTTGGCCGCACAGATGCTGAGCAATCACGGCTGAATCGACCGTTTTGTGAGATCGTTACGTGTTGGAGCTGGCACGAGACCGACCGCCTTTTCAACCTGATGCCTCTGTCTTGCGATGGCCTGCTCAAAATGAATGCCATCTAGATCCGAATATCTGGTAGAGCAACAAGCTTTCTCGTCCAGCTTGCATACCCAGAAGCATACCGAGCAGCCACCGCGCGTCGTTAAATTAACAGCGCGTATCTGCCGGTCCGCGGACGCCCATGCCGCCAGCCCCCGCCTCTTCGAGTTGGCAGCCCATGAGTGTGGAGACTCCACAGCGGGATGTTAGCGCGTCGTTTGCATTTTGCCTAAATGCTCAACCCTCGGCGTTCACATGGTGCGAAGGATCACGGCGCTGCGGCGCTGCGGTAAGATCGGAGCCTTTATCGCCAGGTCAGTCACGGGACGCGATCGAAGAGTCGGTTCCGACCTTTATATCCGTGACGATTGGATGAGCGAGACTTGGCCGTGGTTTAGAGCGGGCGTGTAGAGCTGACGACGCGGAGATGGCCACATAAATTGTGGGTTGAAGCGTTCGGGCCCACTGGCTGAGGATGCAGCCAATCACGATGAGGTCAGCAGCGACGTCATGCACTTGCCGACCTCCGATGCCATCGCCATCGTCGAGAGTGCACAGCTTCCCGTTCACGTTGCTCCAACGCCACCTCATCGCTAAGCTACTTCCAGGATTTTGACGACATTCTGGAACTGAGACACGCAGCACCAAGGACAACAATGTTGTGCGATGCTGCAGATTGATTGTGGCGGTATACTAGCCCGAATGCACGTCTGTGGCTCAGCAGTCTGCCTTCCCGCGCCTTCCTGCTTTCTCATACTCATCATCCTTTCCATCGCACTTGTTGGGGCTCTCTTGTACGTTGAAGATTCTTCGCCCCATCATTCGTCGACTACAGTCTAGGTGTTGTTGTGTGGCATATACAGTCACGTGCTCTATCCCCATCTCTGGCATACTCCCCTTAGCTGGCCTTGGGGCTTCAGCTTTGTTGTTTACAGGTTGGTGGGGCAGCTTTAGCGATCTTGAACAAGTGTTCTTCGAGGCTCTGCTTACCCGTTTTGTGAAGAGCTTGGGCGTCTCTCTATCGGGTTACATCGCCCTCAGCAACGCCGCAGGTTTGAAGTCGTGCCACTCTTGAAGCGATACGACCAGATTCTAGCCAGCACTCACAGTTGGGGCGATCTCCTGTTCTCAAGGTCCTTCGCCCCATATTCCGGCGACTGTTGGCAGGGTCTCATCTGGTGGCATGGTTACGTGCGGCACTTTGGCTTGTCAGTCAATACGCTGATATCGCATCCGAAGGATTCTCATATACATGTGCAGAGTCACGGCGCTTAAGCAACTCACTGATAACACAGAGACACAGTCGGGTGGTGACAAATACCACCGAATGGCCCCCTCGCTGCACGATCACATCAGTTGAATCATCGGTTCGTCAAGAAGGAGGCGGCAGAGCTCTTGTAACACTCTCGGAAATGAAGACAGTCGACATATTAGACCCATTCTGATACAATCGTTCAATCCACATTGGCGCATATTGCTCATCATCTCGCCTTCCAAGACGCGGTAAGAGCTTCTGTGTGAGACCTTCGACCAAAACCGCGACGGTGTTGGTCCTCCGTCTCCATATCAAGTTGCATCGCCCCCAGAAGCGCTGCAGTCCTGACGTAGCGCCCACATTGAACTCTTACGATCAGCTCACCATTGTTAGTCAACGGCGGCGGCGAGGGTCTCGGGTTGAGACCTGTACAGCTTCTGACGTGGAAACCTTCAGTGGCCCCAATCGAAGTGCTTTCATCTTGATGGAGGGGTGCAGTTGACCGGTAAGCATCCGTCCAGTTCTCAGATATAAGAGGCATGTTTGGCAATGTATCTTTATCTCGCAGCATCCTCAGAAACATTATACTTTGCAATCCATACTATAATCACCAGCACCCACACGCACTCACGACCTGAATACGGAGATGAAGCTACTTCAAGCACTATCTCTCGTACTGATTCTTCGCAGGGTTCACGCATCCTTACCCTACGGCCTTCCTGATCTTGGTCAGTGGGGCCTGATATATTGCTGAATGACTAATGACTAATGAATGTGCAGACGAAGACCGTTTGGTACCCAGGGATCTTCAACCACCTGCTTCCAATCCTTCCAGGACCGGTATCGTTCCCTCTGGAGCACCTGCATCTTCGCTAGGAACTGCCTTTTCGGCTATTCTCGGCACATCGACGACGTCTTCCACCAGAGTTCACCCGTCTTCAGGCACAGCGCCGGTAGTTGTGAGCTCTCTCGTCATCCCATCGACAGCAACCTCTTCCAACTCTTCAAGCGCTTTTGGTCGCCCTAGCTCGAACAGTTCTAGCGTCGTATACGCCAG